TTTGCAACTCTTAGGTAAAACCACCCCTCTAATCCAATAAGCAATATAGTTCCAAATCATGAATCTAATTAAAGTCTACCAACAAGAGAGAGAGCTTTAGCCTTCCAACCATCTAATAGAAGAGTAATTGTGTTTATAAGAGGCAAAATATTAGAAATTCTGGTTCTTCTAATAGGAATAGAAATACCAAATATTTAATAGTATCAGATTCAATAATAAGATTAAGACTTTCAGCAAGCATTTCTCGACTGGTCGCCTTTTTAGAGAAAAAAATATGGAGCTTTTTGCATGGTTAATTTCCAAATCAGAGGCAGAAGAAAATTTGTTTAAAATAACTTGTAGAGCTTGTAAATTGGAAGCATAAGCCTTACCAAAAAGAATCAGATCATCAGCATATAACATATGAAAAATCTGAGAAGTACCCATATTAATGCCAACATAAGAGTTATCCAATGTAGCTGATTCAATGAGACAAGAGAGCCCATCCATGCCAATGTAAAATAAATAAGGTGAAAGAGAAGATCCTTACCTCAAGCCAAGGGAAGATTGAAAAAAAAAACCTTTTTTAAAGAGCCATTAATGCATATTGAAAAACCAACATTATCAATACAAGCTTTAATCCAACTAATGATCATACTAGGAAAACCTTTTTGATGAAGACGGTGAATAATAAATTCCGGTCAAATGCATTGAATATGTCTAACTTTGCACCATACATAACATGCTTGCTATTATCTTTGAATATAGAAAGGATCTCCGTTGCCAGAATTATATTATCAGTAGCCATTCTATTAAAAATAAAATCAGATTGAGCATTGTATACTATATGAAGCATGATGTGCTTTAATCTTTCAGCAAGTAATTTAGTCATAGGGTTTAGGTTTTAGGGTTTAGGGTTTAGAATAGCAATAATTTTATAAAAAATATTGCACGAAGATATAAGTCTGAAATCAGCAATTCTATCAACATGATTAGTCTTAGGAATTAAAACAATCCCTGTTGCCTTGACTTTATTAGGCAAATAACTTTTTCAAAAGAGATGCTTGATTGCTTTACACACATGACCCCCAATAATATCCCAATTATCAGTATACAAACCACCCATCAGCCCCTGGAGCAGAATTTTTGTTTGCATTAAAAATCACATTGTGGATCTCCTCGTTAGAAATAGGAGCAGTAAGAATAAAGATCATATGAGAGGGAATAAACTTTCCTTGAGGATTGAATACCTTATTTGCAGAATTAAAAAGTTTCTCAAAATGAGAAATAGCAACTTCAGTAATCTCATTAGGATTAGAAAATGATCCATTTCAAGTAGTGATTTGACAAATAAGATTCTGATTATTCCTCCCCTTAATCTTTACCATATAGGAAATGAAGATCATCCTCACATCTTGAAAGCCAGTTTGCATCACCGCTTTGGATAATCCAAGAAGACCAATCAGATAAAGCAGAATAAAGTTGATGATTCAACCTCCTAGATTCCACATTAAAAACTCCAATCAAAGGCTCTTGATTAAAAAGATACAACAACAACAAGCCTCGGCTACATGAATCTTTTTTCTCCATTATCCTGTTAGGAGTCTGATGCAGAGCATCTTAACTAAATTGCTCCTTAGGCATATTTTAATTAGTTTGTTATGTGCTTTTTACAAGTGCCTTCTAGAGTATTCTATTTAGCTTATATAAGCAAGTTTTGTAGTAGGGAAAGGGGATGAATGATATATTACACTCTTTGAAGCTTAGAAGCTTGTTTCTCTTCTTCCCTGGATTAGGAGCCAAAAATCCTTCTTGCAGGTCGAGTCTTCCGACGATCCACTGCATCAGTTGGTATCAGAGCCTGAAGCTTGCGAAGATCGATGAACTGCGGAAGAAGGTCGGCTGTCGACGACGATCGAAGCTGCAAAATAAGATTGGCGGTCGACGACGATCGACGCCAAGGAAGGTGGGTTGTCGACGATGCTCGAAGCCGGATCGCCTTCTATCAAGCTCAAGCGAATGATTCATTGGATCAGATCGACAGGAACCTTCGGGCAATAAGGAAGATGCCAATGTCGTCGGCAACCATACCGAGGTATTCTTCTTCTTCTTCGATCTCCTCGTCTGCTTCACGCAGACGCCATCAGTCCCGCCAGACTCCCGCAGTAGTTGATGACTATGCCCCGCTCGAACTCCCTCTCCGATGGCGTGATCCATCGCCGGAGTACCCTCCGCTCGAACTCCCGCTTCGGTGGCGTGACCCCCCTCCGTTCCAATGTCACTCCGCCTCCAGAACCCAGCACCCTCCACTGGAGCTCGCGACCATTCCCTCTCTCCAGCTCGATTTTGCTCTCGTACCCACGACCCGAGTAGATCCACAGCTCGATGCCGATTCCGACTCCGTCGCCGATGTTAACATCGTTGAGGGAGAGCAGCTTGCTAGACATCCTCCAACCCTCCAGCACCATTCGGGCCCCAACACCACTCCGCTCCCGCTGCCGCTCCCACTCAGCTCCTGTGAACCCAAATCCTCTCAGGCATCCGTCCGGGCCGCACTCCCGCTCCCGCTCCTTCCCCCACTACCGCTCTCGCTCAGCTTTCACAATCCCATGCCCGGACTCCAGCATGCTAAGCCGCACACGCGCCCGCCTCTATTTCAGCAAACAATTTCCCGATTAAATTTGCCTTCGTGTGCCCGGAGTCTTGCATCGATGCTGATGTCCACTTGGTCGAGGGAGAGGGTTTCAAAGGACCGCCTCAGCTTCCAGCACACAAGATCCAACTTGAATCCCAGATCCGAGTGCCTACCGATTCAATTAAGCTCACGCTCCCACTCAGTGTGGCATCGGCGCCTTCGCTCATACAGGATCGGTTTCCCCGCTCTCTTGACTTCTCTGCAGCGAAGACCCAAACATTTGATCACGCAGGCAGAAATCATTCTGACTCAGCAGTTTACCCGGCCCCTCCTCCCGCCCACGCGAAATCTGGCCCCTGCTGCTCACGCGAGACGGATGATGATCGCGACCAGGTCACGATCCCACATCTAACACTTACTCAGCCGGCACGGCTACTCACACCCGTCGCCGGCCCTACACGGATCAAACTGTTAAATCTCCTCCTAAGCAAGATCTATGGCAGTATCACGGACTTCATAGTTGATCTTCCGAAGCTTGAAGTGTTTCAGCTCTGGGAAAAAGAAATTATTGGTAGCATTCTGCAACGGCAAAGCATGGATGGCCTTCTCCAACTACTTGATTGTTCTTCTAACAAACTTAATGGCAATCTACTGCCGGGCGGACTCCCCGACACCAGCAAATTCAGGATCTCATCCAAGATCACCTTATCTGGCAATTACCTCTTTGGTCATATCCCTTCCTCAATCGATTATGCTCTTGGACCTGATATTATCATCTTTCATCTTTTCATCTTCACCTTCAACACCCTTATTAATGGCTTATGCAAAGCTGGGAGGATTGGAAAAATGGATCAAGCTTATGGAATGATGCAGAAAATAGTGGAGTGGTTTGAGAAGATGCCAGAATTAGGATATAGTCCATATGATGTCCCCCACTCAGTCAATGCTTATGGTCGCTTGGGCAATGTGGATATGGCTCGTGCTCTATATGATCAGGAGCTCAAAGGAAAATGGAATTTTGATCTTGCTACCTTTGTGACTATGTTTGGAGTTTATGGAGCTTCTGGTCATTTCAATGGTGCACTCAATGTGTTTGAGGAAATGAAAGAACGTGATGTGAAGCCAAAGTCGTTCACTCACAACAAGATGTTGGAGGTCATAGGTAGATGTGGAAGGCCATGGCAATTGAAGAACATTTATAAGGAGATGGTTGGTAAAAGGATAGTACCAAATATGATTACTTATTATTTGCTTCTCAAAGCTTATTCCCAAGCTTGGTATGTCATGGATCCTTGGCATTTAAATGGTGGATCAAGCCTGGAGGCATTCACCATAAACTGTGCAGCAAGTTTATCACTTATCAAACAAAGAACTCCCGTCTCAGCTTCAAATTCATTTAGGTTCCTTTATGATATTCGGACATACAATGAACTATCAGGAATAAATGGGCCGAACGCTTTTGGTCCTATGACGGGAATGAATGGGGAAGCACAATCTAACATTTTATTATTCAGAAATGATAGTTTATTACAAGTAGCTGCAATAAATGATGAGAACAAAATTTTCGATCCAGGAGGTTTGCTATCTCCCTCCCGACAACGCGCCTCGACGGAGTCGAGGCCTTTTTGATGCAATGGGAGAATGATGCAGAGCATCTTAACTAAATTGCTCCTTAGGCATATTTTAATTAGTTTGTTATGTGCTTTTTACAAGTGCCTTATAGAGTATTCTATTTAGCTTATATAAGCAAGTTTTGTAGTAGGGAAAGGGGATGAATGATATAGTACACTCTTTGAAGCTTAGAAGCTTGTTTCTCTTCTTCCCTGGATTGGGAGCCAAAAATCCTTCTTGCAGGTCGAGTCTTCCGACGATCCACTACATCAGAGTCAAATTCTCATCTATATCTAATAAAGAAACATCATTTCTAATATTTTCTAACCAAGTCTTTTTAAGTCTTCCTCTATCTTTCTTAACATAAGTCAAATCCAATACATCTACTTTTCTAACCGGGTCATTGGAAAGCCGCCGTTTTATGGCTTGAAGTTTTTAAGTCTCCTGTTCCAAATAAAGAGAAATCCATTCCTGGTGCTTTATACTTCCTCTAAGTTGTTTTAGTTTATCATAAAAATCTGTAATAGGATCGTTCCTGAACGAAGGCATGGAGAAAATTTCAAAAAATTTCTTCTGAAAGAAGACTACTCCAATAGTTTTTATAAGAAATCTATGTCTATAAGACATTTGATGCAGAGGAACAACCACAAAGGTGAGTGATCAGAACAGCGGGGCTTAATATCTTGTAGGAGTTTGGAAAAAACATCCAGCCAACAACTGTTATTGAAAATTCTATCTAGCTTTATTTGAATAGGCATTTTAGAATAACCATGTATAAGGCAACCCAACCGTATCCTAACATAGAAAAATGTTTCACAATAAAGTAAACCGTATTGAAAAAAAATGAAGAAAGAAAAAGAGAGCCAACAAGTAGGGGCTGATTATTGAATGCTTAATAATGAAGAATTTTGCAAGTTATAAGGTGCTAAGTAGGAGAGGATACCAGGTACTTGTGCTCTTGAGTTTCAAGCCATCTGACCCCAAAAGGACCCTCAAATAGTTACAAGAGCGGTAAGGAGCCTACCTCTCAAGGAACAAGATTGGTCCTCTCCACAGTCTACTGCCTCCTATTTATAGATGTCATTGGAAGATTCTGTGAGAGAGACACTACCTCACATCAGCCATCAAAACCAGCACAGCATGGGCGGTCCAACTATCTAACAGTCCAGGTTACTCCTATCTGCCTCTTGGCGCTCAATCCGAGGAAGGCTACAATATAACGAAAAATTATTCCGTGAGGAGTCCGGACGGTAAAGAACCATCCGGATGTGAGTGTACACAGTGTTTGTACACACTGTCTATAAAAACAAACTGTGTACGAACGGTTCTTCATTGTACGGACTTCGCACGAAATAATTTCTCCAATATAACACCCTCCTCACTAAATACACGTCCATTCATCAATTTCATCAACATCAACTAGACTAGATATGATGGTGGAACGTAAGAATTAGCTTGCTGTTTATATCTTGATGTAATAGCCACCCGGCCACCTCCTCTGGAACAGTCATTATCCAAAACTCATATCTCCCACTTCAAAATCGTTTCTTGCATGATCTCTGAAGATATCCAGGATCGACCAAATATCAGGCAGCCTCGGGTGCAGTGGATCCCCTGCCACAAATGAGTTGACCTCCCCATCCACCTCAATCGCACTACAAGCAGGTGTCTTTTTGATGCCTCTCCTCCCAATCAGCTTCCTTATCCTCTGCGCATCCTCCAGCTTATTTGAATTCAAATAGATATTCGACATTTGAACAAACACTCCCTGATCATCTTCACCATTCCCAGTTATACTCTGAAGCTCTGCAACCGCAAGCTCTGCAAGCTCAACGTTATTGTGAATCCTGCATCCTGTCAACAGCGAGCCCCAAACGGAAGCTAGAGGTCTCATTGGCATTCGGCGGATGAGCTCCAATGCATCTGCAAGCCTGCCTACCCTACATAACATGTTGACAGCGCAGCTGTAATGCTCATGTTCAGGAACGACATCATAGCGTGTGATCATTTCAGCCAATAGCTTCAAACCCTCTTCTACAAGACCTGCATGAGCGCAAGCAGCCATAACGCTGAGAATCACAATCCCGTCCGGCTGCACACCGTCCTCATCTTTCATCCTGCGGAGACAGCAAATAGCATCATTTGCAAATCCGTGCACTGCAAATCCCCCAATCATTGCAGCCCACATGAAGGAATTTCTCTCTGATGCTGAATCAAACACTTTCACAGCTTCCTCAATACAGCCACATTTTGCATACATACTTATAAGGGACGAACAAATAAAAGCATCTTCCGACAAGCCAGGGTGCTTGTCCAATAAATACATGTGGATCCAAGCTCCTTCTTTTAGATCCCCTGCTTGTGAGCAAGCCGTAAGGGCGGTGGTGATTGCGTGCTTGTCCGGGATCAAACCAACCACAAGCATTTCTTTGAAAACGCCTAACGCCTCAAACGGGAACCCACGACGAAGATAGCCATTCATAAGCACGTCAACGTGAACTGCATCTCTTTGGGGAATTTCATCGAATAGCTTGCGTACTTGGCACAGATCGTCCTGGCTCTGCGCGTAAAGTCGAAGGGCAGCCGTCTGAACGTAATGGTCAGTTGCAGCGAGGCTGTTCTTGATGACGACAGCGTGTACCTGAGTGCCAAAGGCAAAATCAGGTACGGCGACGCAAGCGGCGAGGGCAAAGGGGAATGAGTGATGGTCTGGCGCGGAAAAGAGTTCAGGTGAGCGAAGCATTAGGGAAAAGTAATGGAGGGCGCGATGGGGCTCGGGGCCACGAGCGTGGGCATGGATGAGGGAGTTGTAGATGAAGGAATTGGGAGGGGCGGGGGAGTGTCGTAGGATAAGGGAGGCGTAGAGGAGGCCGCTGCTGCTTCGAATAGAGCAAGCAGCGAGGATAAGACGGCTGATGGCGACGGTATGGCGATGGAAGCCATGGGTGAGGCAGAGAGCATGAATAATGTGGAGCTGCCGCTCGTTAGAGCAGCGTTGGATGAAGTACATGCATCGCTGCCATCCTGGAGTGGTGCCGCCGCCAGCGTCGCTCGGCGACAATGGCATTGGCGGTGGTGCGAATTGGTTGGTTGGGCTAGCAACTCGCTCATAGCATTCCGGTGTGGTCTATTGGAGGAACAATTATTAGGTAAGTTGATCTGGCCTGACCTGACCTGACCTGACCTGACGTAGCTTTACGTACGGACGTCAATAATATATCGCCACATGTTCTCATTCTTTATCGCGCGGTCCGATGACCCGACCAGGACCGAAACCCAGGATTGCTATGTTCGCGTATTGCTCGGTACTGCTAGGTATTGCTCGATATTGCTAGGTATTGCTTGGCAATAATAAGAATTACCGCTATGTGAAGACCAATACCGAGTCAGTATTGGTCTTCACATAATGGTATCTCGTTATTGCTGAGCAAAATCGACCAATACCTAGCAATACCGAGTAATACCGAGTTTTTCTTGGTATTGGTCTTCACATAATGGTATTTCTCGTTATTACCGAGCAAAACCGACCAATACCTAGCAATACCGAGCAATACCTAGCAATACGCGAACATAACAATCCCAGGGCCGTTCCGGGTCGGGTTGACGGGCTGCGCGGTAAAAAGAAAAAACACGTGGCACTATTTTACTGGTGTCTGAACGTAGAGCTATGTCATGTCACCGGACAAAATAAAAGTTCCTATTGGAGGAACTTTGTTGAAAGCGTTTGGGGATCACATTTTATTTTATTTAAAATTTAGCTTATTTATATTTGAGATAAAATAAATTTATATTTGATAACTTAAGTATAATTCATCTATATGTTATTTCTATTCTGAGAGAAATAATCTTGATATGTAAAAAAATTATCTTGATCGGACACGAATCTTGAGCCAAAAATCAAGTTGGAAAATTCAAAAATTAAATATGGGATCATCTGAACTCCAATTTCAGCAAACTTATAGTCGAATCGATCGTCTAGGAAATATGAACCCAATGACACCAAATTCAACTCAATCCGAGCCCAAATGGGTCCGAATCGAAGACCTGAAGCGTTGTTGGAAGATTCAAACCACAATTTTGATCATCAAACGGTTTAAAAACATGACATGCTTATAGTTGAATCGAGCGACTCGACGAGACGAATCCAACGAGCCCAAGATCGCCGAATTCTGATATCATTAAGACCTTCAAATGTCTTATGAACGGTCAACGATCAAGGGATTCAATATCGATCGTCCATCCAAACCACTCTACATTTGCCCTTGATCCTTCCCTTATTTTTACGGGTCATGCCACTCTTAGAAAACTATAAATATCCCCTCACTTCTCTTAGGAGGGGACCCAAGCAAGAAGAGAGGAGAAGAGAAGAAGAGGAGGGAAAAAGCTCCTCCTCGATGAGCACCAGAGTTCCGCCCGACTTTCAAGTGACACCAGAGTTTTTCCCAACTTTCAAGTGCCGTCGGAGTTCCATCCGACTTTCAAGCGACGTTGGAGTTCTGCCCGACTTTTAAGTGACGCCGGAGTTCTGTCCAATCTCCAAGTGACTCGAGAGTTTTGCCTGAATACCATTTAATGCTAGAGTTCTCGCCGGCTGCCGACTGACGTCGGACTTCTACCCGACGTCGGACCTCCACTCGTATCCAGATTTATACACAATGTCGGACTTCTGCCCATTGTCGAATTTTCACTGGACATCTATCTGATGCTGGATTTTTGTCCATTGCTGGACTTCTACTTGATGTCTCCTTATGACCTCCGTCGTCAGGCAACGGTCCTTCCGACCTCCGTCGCCTGCCAACTAGGGGTCCTTCCGATTTACGTCAACCATCTACTACGGTCCTTCCGACCAAACGAACACATCAACAATGACTCTTTGTATTCTCATCATGTATTTCATATAATGTACATCAAGCCATGGCCTTCCTCCTAAAGAAAGGCCTCATTTGTAATCGACTGCAAATAATAGTGGATTCATTCAAACTGGGTTAGTGTGACGCCCCAAGATCTAACTTGGAAAGAATTTCAATCAATTCATCAAAACCAATTGCCAGAGCTATCTATAACATCAATCAACAGTCTAACAAAAATCTATAACATTTAAAACATCAATGTACAGGTCGATTCATCTCAAAAGATCATATACACTACTCAGGAACTACACTATGAACTGAAATCTATCCTGTCCTGAGTACAAAAGAATCACTATAAC